CACCTATAGAGGAAGAAAAACTCCTTCTTAAAGAGAAACTTGGGTCACAGCTATGCCTAGGAAGCACGGAGGTTCCACCTAGCCCCAAATCTTGTGTGTGTGCAGGGAAATCAGGAAAGCTTCCTGGAAGAAGTAATATCCAAAGTGAAATCTCAGTAGAGGAACAGAAGGTGGCTAAGTAAAAGAGGAGTGGAGGTATGTTATGGACTGAATGTCTTCCTGTTCCGCTTCCCACTTCCAAATGCATATGTCAGAGCCTGATCTTCAATGTGTGATGGTATTTGGAGGTGGGTGCCTTGGATGTGATTAGGTTTTAGATATGGGTCATGGGAATAGGGCCCCAAGAAGAGCCAGAGAGCACTCTGCTCCCTATCCCTTCTCTGTGTTGAGTGTCTTTTTTCCCTCTCCCTCCTCCTCTCCTTTCCATGTGAGGACACAGCAAGAAAGTGGCCGTCTGTAAGCCAGGAACAGGGCTCTCCTTAGAACCCCACCGTGCCACACCCTGATCTGACTTCCGGCCTCCAGAAAACTGTGAGACAGACATGTCTGTTGCTTGGCCCCCAGTGCGCGGGTATTTTGTCCTGAAAGCAGCCGGATGGACAGACAGAATGACAGGAGCTCCAGGCAGGAGGAACCATCCTTGTAAGAGCTTGAAGATAAGAAAGAGACCTGTGAGCTAATGTGAGCCAGCAGTTGGGGTCAGGGGCATATGCTGGACAAGAGGGGGGCAAAAGTGGGGGCTCTTGGAGTTATGGCTTCAGTTTGAAGGGATGTGACTTGACCCTGAGGGTACCAGAAACCGCAAAAAACAGGGTCTGAGGGAAAACAAGAGTGTCATCAGGTCTGCACACAAGGGAGACGGCTCAGGCTGCCATGTTGAAAATGGATCAGGGCAGGAGAGGAAGCAGAGTGGGAGGCCATGAGGAAGCTGCACCCAGGTGGGAGGTGGTCCGGAGGATGAGTGGCCCGTGTGGAGGTAGAACAGACAGACCTTGACTAAACATAGGTGAGGTTGGGGGGGGTGGAGCATCTGGCTTGGGCATCTGGGGCAGGGAGGGTGTCTATTTGCTCGAGCAGGACTTTTCTAGGCCAGGCTCACTGTGGCGGGGATTCAGCACATGTGACCGGATTCGTACCACAACAATATGCTAGCATATCGTCTTAGAACAACGGTTACAGAAGTTGCTCGTCTGAGGCCACACGGCCAGCTGGCAGAAAAGGGCCCAGGTTTCACCCGCCGGTCTGGCCCTGCCCCTGCCTCACCTATCACAGTAGAGGCTTGCCATTCCAGAATGCAGTTAGACTTTCCCCACCACCCCAGCCTGCTGTGCTCTCCCATCGATCTCCTATGCCCAGCCTGTCCCCACCCCCCACTCCCCAGGCTGCTTAGCAAAGATTTGCATCACTTCACTTTGGCCAGACCCTCTCTGGAGTGGCGTTCCTGCCTGCTGAGGGTGGGCACCATCTGAACGGGCATATTTGGTGCCACTACCACTGCCTTATCTCACACTGCCTTGTCCTGGACCACAGATGTTGTCCTCTCTTCCCAACACAACTGCTAGCTTCATTTCTTGGCATCCCTGTCCCAGCTGTGAAGAGCCAGACTCTAAGCTCCTCCTCTTGCTGCCTTTGTGAAAGAAAAGAAGACCCAGGAAAATGCCAAATCCGTATAATTGTGGAGTGAAGAGTGTCCCTTCAAAATTCATGTCCACTTGGAACCCTGAATGGAACCGTGTTTGGAAATAGGGTCATTTGCAGATGTAGTTAGTTAAGAGGGGGCTGGTCCTGGAGGAGGTGGGTCCCAACCCAATGGCCGCAGTGTTGTTATAAGAAGATAAAAAAAAGCACAGCAGGCTGCGCATGGGGAGAAAGGCATATGTGAAGGGGGGGCAGATTGTAGTGTCTACAAGCCAAGGAATGCCAAGGATTGTCAGCAACCACCAGAAGTCAGGTAAGACCAAGAAGAATTGTCTCCTGGCTTACAGAGGAACATGAGTCTGTGAACACCTTGACTTTCAGACTACAGCCTCCAAAGTTACAAGAGAATGGGTTTCTGTTGTTTGAAGCCACCCACTTTGTGGTCCTTTGTTATGGTAGCCCAGGAAACCAAAACATGCACACTCACAACACAGCAGCAATGGATTGCACAATAAATATTTGATGAATGAATGAGATCAGAGGGTGTTAATGTTACCAGCAAACGGGCAGCCAAGACCGAGATAAAATGCTGATACATTCCAAAAGTTGGCACCATCATCAGACCCTAACCCAAGTTGACAGCTGTTTAATAACCTTATGGCACATACACAGGAAAAAAAGAATAACAACTTAAAAATGCATGACATAAATCACTTAAGGGACGCGTTTTAATCTGGTTAGGCCATCTTCCTCTCTTCTATGAAGAAAAGCAAAGGAAGATTTCAGCCATGTAAGGATCCCAGGTTTCAGGTGACAAAATGGACATAGAATCTGTTAAGAAATACACCTGAGATTATACAGCAAAGGAGAGGCATGGTGGGAAGCTGATGAGATTTCCACCCCATATTCAACCTCTCTGTCAGGTCAGAGCTGCAGCCAGGACAGGAGGAGGTACCTGGATGTCTGCACTCTACGAAGTGTCCTCTGAGCTGACCCCCCCTCCCCCCTGCCCCAGTACACTCTTTCTGTGCCCCTACCCTCCTACCACTCACCTGGAACACAGTGCTTCTGGAACTGATCAGGTCAAGGATGCAATGCTTAGCTGAACACCTCCACAATTTGTCTCTATTTGCTGAGGTGTGACTCAACGTGGATCTTCCAAGAGTAATTCTCACAAAAGAAGGATGCTGCCCAGAATGATCCGGGACGGTAGGGCATCAGGGTGGCAAAGCGATCATTTTGGAAGGTAAGGGTTGGAAATGGGATATGAGTGTCTAAGTTCAGATCCTGGTCCCTGGAAAATCTCAAGTTAAAGTTCTTCCCAGAGCATTTGTGAGTGAGCAGATGACATGACACCACGGGCTATAAAGGCTTGAGTATTTGGAGTGGCAAGGCCATCCTCATCATCTGTATCCCACTACAATGCTTCATCAGAACAATTCAAGATCTCATAGTCATTCTGAGCTGCACCCAAAATGCTTACGCTTGGCTGCTCCATTCAGGAGAGGGCCGAAGACATCCTACACAGGTGTATTTTTTAAGACATAGAGCAAAAAAGTAAGTGGTAAGAAAAGGCCTTTACTAGAATGAACTGGAAGGAGTTGAATGGACCGTAAAAGATGGGCTGATTTTCAAGCTTGGTCACGCCCTTAGGTGGAACTGTCCTGACAGACTCAGAAGGACCTAAACTGTGGTCAGTGGTTGAGTCCACGGGCCAGGCTTCCTGGAGCTCCAACCAAGTGCTTCAAATCACTGCTGCCCCGTGGATAATGCACACCAGGCTCTGACATTTTATCATTTTTCTGGAATCAGGCCAAAATTGAGCCTGCTTTGACTCTCTCTTTTCCTGCTCCCAACCCCTTGCTGCTCATCAAGGCTCACCGTCATCAAGGTGAAATCCCATGTCATTCTCTACCTCTTTCCTCATTGCCACCAC